GTCTCCATCATATCCTCCGTAACCTCCTTTCCCTCCATATCCACCGTATCCGCCATAACCTCCTTTCCCTCCACATCCACCGTCTCCATCGTATCCATCATAACCTCCTTTCCCCCCGTATCCACCATATCCCCCATAATTTTTGGCATCATAGACCTCCTTTTTCTTTTCCTTCTCACTACTACTGGTCACTTCTTTAGAACCCACCCCTTCAGAACCCACAAGAAACCCTACAAAGACAATGAAAACAAGCAACACCCTTGTTTCCTCCACAGTTATTTTCATGGCTCTCTCTCTCTCTCTCTCTACTAGCTAGGGTTGTGATGAGAAGTTTGCATAGAGCTCACCCCTATTAATAGTGGCATTCTGCGAGAGGGAGTGAGAGAGTGAGAGTGTGAGAGCATATTTTTATTAATTCGTGTACTCAGTTTTTGGAATGGCATTGAGTAGCGTCTGCATGGAGATTTTGGTCGTTATGGAATGAGTTACTTGAGTGGGAGTGGGACTGTTAGAAGAATATCAAGTTTGGTGAGGGTTTCTATTGTTGGTATGAAATTAGGTTGATCTGTTGGTAATGGTTAGGAACAAATGGTAACATCATTGATAAGCTTTAATGGCCATGAAAATTTCTGAAGCAGTATTTAAGTTTGATGTTTGATGGTTTGAAATTGATACAACTCTAACTATATTAAAAAGAGGAGTAGCATTTTGTGCATTTGAAATTTGAATTCCTGAGCATTTGGAATGAGTCTTTGGGAATGGACTTTCCATCAATATTTCTACGGATTGGGACAATTGGGTATAAGATAATGTACTATGTCATGTTTGGTTTGCTTCAACATTTGAGATTTAATTTCTAATCATTTTGTGTTAGTTCCTAATTGCTATGTTGTCGATATTTGATTTTAGATGAGTTTAAAAATTGAGATTTGATTTATGATCACTTTATTTCCAACTTATATCAAATGTCATCATCTTTTATCACTATGTCATTGATATTTAATCTTTATGTCATCCATGTTTCATTTTGATCCCTCAGAAAAATTGAGATTTCACTTATGGTCTTTGCCATTTTCCAATGTATCTTTCAAAACAAGTAATGGTGATTGTGGGCCGTTGGATTTTTATCCAACAGCTACAAATAGGGGGCCCTTTAAAGTTATAATAATTATAGCCGTTGGATGAAAATCCAACGGCCCACAGTTCTTGGTCAGGAGGATCCTCTCCTTGGGCTTAGGAAAGGATCCAAATCCTCCCCCCCACCACCCACTCCCTATCCTCTCTCTCTCTCTCGCCTCTCTCTTTTCTCTCTCCCTGCAACCTGCATTCCTAAAATCCCAAAATCCAGAAACCCTTCCCACCTGTCCCCCCCAACCTTCCTCCACCACCCACCCTCTCTTTTTCCTCTCGCTCTCTCGCCTCTCTCTTTTCTTTCTTTGGGCAACATGCATTCCCAAAATCCCAAAACCCATTACAAATCTCAAAACCCAAAATCTCATCAAACCTCCCAAATCTGGAGAAGGCGGTCCTGTTCAACTTCGACTTCACCCTTCCTATCCAGATGGTGCAAGGATTAGAGAGAGATGAAGTGTCTCTGATTTCGTGCTAGGGATTAGAGAGAGAGAGAAGAGTTTCTCTGGGGGTGGGCTCGGGTGGGGAGAATGGGTGTGTTTGATTTGGGAGAGGGCTTGGGTGGGGAAGACGAATTGATTTTTTTTTTTTTTTTTTTGTACATGAAGAGGAGCTGTGGGTGAAGCCATCGTCGGCCTCCTTAGGATCAAAGAGGGTGCGTGGTGGAGGAAGGTTGGGGTGGGGGACGGGTGGGAAGGGTTTCTGGGTTTTGAGATTTTAGGGATGCAGGTTGCAGGGAGAGAGAGGTGAGAGAGAGAGAGAGAGAGAGTGTGTGTGTGTGTGTGTGTGGGTGGTGGGGGGTGGGGACGGGTGAGAAGGATTTTATATAAAAATAATAATTTATTTTTAATTTTTAATATTTAATTATTAAAAATATATTTAATTATATTTTAATCCAGTGGGATTAGTGAGTGGCCCCCGTCTCTAGCCACGTCAGCACTCAACAGATAAATTAACAGAAAAAATGACGGATGTATGACTTTGTCACAAATTTGTAAGATGAGGTATGATATTGTCACTTTTAAAAGATGAGGTATGAAAGTATCGTCAGACCAATAGTTGAGATAGTTTTTTGTCATTTACCCTTGAAAAAAAGAATAAGCTAAAAGTACTTCAGAATTGAAAAAACACCTGAAGTACTTTTTGGATTGTGTGCTTCCTTCAAGAAGAACTTCAAATGTTTTTTTTAAGAAGAATTTGCATTTTTCTAAATAATTATAATGTACTCTAAATAGAATGGCTTCTACTTAGCATAAAAGTTTTCTAAAAATGTATTTCCAAATGGGCCCTTGGTTAATTAGCTAAGATGTTTGGAAAAAGAAGAAGATAAAAGTACTTCTGAGTTGAAAAAAACACCTGAAGTGTTTTATGGATTGTATTGTCACACCCTGGGCCCGAAAATATTAATTTCGGGAAATGATAATGGTGACGGCCCAAAAACTTTGCTTTATTTCGCATAATTTTAAATCACGATTCTTTATTTAAATTCCTTATCTCCCTCTCAATAAACATAAACATAAACATAATTAATTTATAAGGCATGTGCCTAGGCTTTCTATTAAGTCAAAATTTACTTCTAATAACTCAACGTCTTAACAGAAATTAATTCTTGATTGTTTAATCTTACTTGTTTTATGGCTGCATCTAACATCTCGTTAGACTGCCTACGTACCCTAAACAGGGATCAAGTCATTCGTAGTTCACAATTCATTATTTACCAATTTCCAAACATATTCTAGTAACCACCATATTCGACACTAACCTTCATAATCCAATTCATATTAAATGGTTACCCATTATAGATTAAGAATATCGAAATTTACATGAAAAATGGCAACGTCGGCTCCCTGGCCGTGCACCACCGCACCTGCTGCTGCCAATGGCAACCAGCCGCCCCGGCTCGCCGGAAGATTCAATTATTTCTAAAAATTCTCAAAACTTACAGAATGAAGATCTCAAAGAGTAGAGTAAGCTTTATACTTGTGGCGAAGTCCAATTTGGCCTGGAAAGGCTCCAATTTCTCTCGAACTCACCGGAAACCCTAGAAATGGGTGTTCTTGATTCGACTCCAAACAAGCTTCGTCGTCCCAACCATTTCTTGGGCTTTGTTCCTGGGGTTAAGGGAAGTCTATTAGCAGTGCTGGTTGACATGATAACATTCAGAAATGATGGAATTTTCCGTTGTACTCCTCGCGAACTCGTGGTGGGTTATCTCGAAATTAAACCATTTAACTCGGTTTTTTTGATGAAATTGGGAGAGGATTGGATGCTAGGTCAATTTCAGGTGGTGTGTGGCTTCTAATCACCTGAGAAATCGCCTGAAAATGGCGTTGGAGATCATCAATTCCGCCAGATCGAGCCGCGGGTCATGGGATGACCTGGTTTAGTTGGTGAATTCCCTTTGTTCCTCTCCTTTCTCTCCTTTCCCTTGGCCCTCCTTGGTCCGTCCTCTTCTTCCCATTTTCCCCTCCTTTTCTTTTCCAACCGACTTCCTCCCTCCTTTTTTGTTAGCCACTCCCGTGGCATATTTCCACCACAACAACCCAAAATCTAGAATTTTCCAAATCATGGTTAAATGACTATTTTGCCCTTACTTTCGTTCGCTTCCATTTTATTCGTTATAATTTCGTTTGACGAACGGTTTTCGCCTGCACACTCATAGAATTGAATTCTATCAAATTGTGCTAAGAAATACGAAAAGATGTATGAGAATAAAATACGTCCTCGTATATCTACATTATACCACTAGGGCATTTTTTCCTTTTCCCGCGTATTGATAAAATTTACAACGTAAATTATTTTTCAGAAATAAAACTTTAAAATTCCCAATTCTATTTTCATAACCATAAATCGATTTATTTTCAATTTTCTCCACATATTCAGAACTATATTATCTAATTCATATCTTTAAAATTTTCAGGGTATTACATGTATGCTTCCTTTAAGAACCACTGCAAGTGTTTTTTTTAAGAAGAATTTGCATTTTTCTAAATAATTATAATGTACTCTAAATAGAATGGCTTCTACTTGGCATAAAAGTTTTCTAAAAATGCATTTCCAAATTGGTCCTTGGTTAATTAACTAAGATAGCATGCACACCCGATTGCACGAATATTCAAATGACGAACCCCATAGATTAAAAGTCACGTGCGAGCCACAAGAGGCCACAGTGGTTAGTTATGTAGGGGGAGAGATTTTTTTTTTTTTTTTTTTGAACAAGCGATATTATCTACATTAAAAGGGTGAGAGTGTGGGTTAAACCTCACAATGAGTGAGCCATAATAATGTAGTTCAAAATCCCTTTTGCCAAGAATCAAACATAAAATGTCTCATTTATAAGTGAGTAAGGGGTAGAGGTTATTTCATCATTTGAATATTTATTGAAAAGTAAATTAATTGGCATATGTTTTGACAGATATTTACAATAACCTAATAAGTAACGTTTTGTGAAGACAATATACGAAATAGAGCTCATTCATTCACTATAATGGCTTTTATTTCAAGGTGGAGAGGATTTTTGGACCAGCAGCGGAACAATTTCTATGCACATATAGGATAAATTGGCCGGTTAAGGGCAATGTACGCGCTCATTCAAATTCAAATTTCGTCTTTGCAAGTTATAATAATTTAGAATGCATATCGTCATGTAAAAATAACAGTTAAAGAACAATGGCCTAAAACATAAACAAAATAGAGAGAGAGAGAGAGCAGTGATACTTGAAGCACATTTATTTAAAAACTAAGACCATTACATATAAATTGAGTTAACAACTCAAAGGCTAAAGTTCTTGGGCTCATGATTATTTCTATAGTTAATACGGCCTCAGTTCAGTTGAGCCTTTCAAAGCCTGGTGTGGTCGGGTGTGTGACTATGGATAGCCATTACCGCCAGCTCCACCATCGCCTTTAGGCATATATCCTTTCCCACCATCATCATATTTTGGGTCGCCTCCTTTCCTACCATAATCATACTTAGGGCTGTCTCTTTTCCCACCGTGATCATCTTCAGAACGGTCTCCCTTTCCATCTCGATCATCTTTAAAACGATCTCCTCTTCCTTGATCATATCCCCCATACCCTCCAAACCCTCCCTTACCCCCATATGCTCCATACCCTCTCTTACCCCCATATCCTCCATACCCCCAATAACCTCCTTTAGGCCCTCCATATCCACCGTATCCATCGTCTCCTCCATAACCTCCTTTAGGCCCTCTATATCCACCATCTCCGTCGTATCCGCCATAACCTCCTTTCCCTCCGTATCCCCCGTCTCCATCATATCCGCCGTAACCTCCTTTCCCTCCATATCCACCGTATCCGCCATAACCTCCTTTCCCTCCGTATCCCCCGTCTCCACCGTATCCACCATAACCTCCTTTCCCTCCGTATCCCCCGTCTCCACCGTATCCGCCATAACCTCCTTTCCCTCCATATCCACCGTATCCGCCATAACCTCCTTTCCCTCCATAACCTCCTTTCCCTCCATATCCACCGTATCCCCCAAAATTTTTGGCATCATAGACCTCCTTTTTCTTTTCCTTCTCACTACTACTGGTCACTCCTTCAGAACCCACAAGAAACCCTACAAAGACAATGAAAACAAGCGACACCCTTGTTTCCTCCATAGTTATTTTCATGGCTCTCTCTCTCTCTCTCTCTCTCTTTCTACTAGCTAGGGTTGTGCTGAGAAGTTTGCATAGAGCTCATCCCTATTAATAGTGGCATTCTGCGAGAGGGAGTGAGAGTGTGAGAGCATCTTTTTATTAATTTGTGTACTCAGTTTTTGGAATGGTATTGAGTAGCGTCTGCATGGAGATTTTGGTCGTTATGGAATGAGTTACTTGAGTGGGAGTGGGACTGTTAGAAGAATATCAAGTTTGGTGAGGGTTTCTATTGTTGGTATGAAATCAGGTTGATCTGTTGGTAATAGGTAGGAACAAATGGTAACATAATTGATAAGCTTTAATGGCCATGAAAATTTCTGAAGCGGTATTTAAGTTTGATGTTTCATGGTTTGAAATTGATACTACTTTAACTATATTAAGAAGAGGAGTAGCATTTTGTGCATTTGAAATTTGAATTCCTAAGCATTTGGAATGAGTCTTTGGCAATGGACTTTCCATCAATATTTCTACAGATTGGGACCATTGGGTATAAGATGATATGCTATTTCATGTTTGGTTTGTGTATCTTTCATATTTCATTTTGATAAGTTCAACATTTGAGATTTAATTTCTAATCATTTTGTGTCAGTTACTAATCGCTATGTCGTCGATATTTGATTTTAGATGAGTTCATCGATTGAGATTTGATTGATGATCACTTTATTTCTAACCAATATCAGATATCATCATCTTTTCTCGCTATGTCATTGATATTTAATCTTTATGTCATCCATGTTTCATTTGATCCCTCAAAAGAATTGAGATTTGACTTATGCTCTTTGCCATTTTCCAATGAATCTTTCAAAACAAGTAATAGTAAGTGATGAGGGTCATTTTAGCCATATACATAATTAACTTTCCGAATAATGCACTTGTCAAACATGAAAGTAGAGTTTCATACCAATTCTCAAGTTCCTAATCTGCGAACCAAACGGGCAACTGGATGGGTTAACCCAAATGGCAATGAGGAAGAGTAGGTCAAAGATTTTTTGGCTGAAACGATGGGTCTATGAGTTATTCAAATCCCTTCAATGTAACAGGTGAAAAAATGAATTCAATTGTACGTCATAATTTCGATTAGTTTGCTTTTGGTCGTAGATTTCCAGTTAAGTTTTCATTTTTCTTAGGATTTTTTATAGGGAACTTTTATTAGTAATCGAAAAGAAAGTCATCGTATATGCATTGAAATAAAAGTATATATGAGAAGATGCACTCAAAAGAGAGAAAAATGACTTTCTTGAAGTCCCAATAACATCTTCCCTTTAGTATTGAACTTGTCAATTCACTGAAGTTATTGGCCAAAGATGAAAACCGAAACAAAACCTCTCATACAAGGGACAGAAATATAGGGAGACAGAAACAAAAATCAACCCTAAAACCGGCGAAACCAAGAGATAAGATCATTTCCTCATCTTGCAGGTTTTTCTCTCCAGATGGTTCTCCCGGGTTTATTTTGGAACCGTCGCCTGCTAATCTTAGTAGATGCAAATACTGACGGTAGTCCTTATCATCTTCTGTTGCAGCAGGGGATCAGTTTGTTCCGTTACCAGAAAGAGCTGGAGCATCGTCTAAAGGTTCAACGTTAGTAAGGGAATCGACTATATGTCATCTGTTGACACTCCCCCCTGTAATCTAAGGTGATTGTTTGCAGTTCATGGCTATCGATGAGTTCTTGAGGCATGTTCTGAAAAAGACATTATTAACATATATACCAACCTATAGAACCCATCCGACGTAAGAGAGCTCTCCTCGGCTGCGAAATTGAATTAAGCATACCGAGAATACTGAATAAATATGAGAACTTAAAATGAATTGAAGAAACACTAACCACAAGTGTGCAGGATCTTCCAGTTTGGCAATTTTCCTCAAGATACTGTTGTTAGGCTCTGGAAATGCTAATCTATCGATGTCAAGAGAAGAAACCAATGAGAAGATTGGCCAAGAGGGATAACCTTAGCGCATATATATATATACACACACAGACACGATGAAGTCATATGCAAAAAGAAAAAAAAAAAGGGTCTTTACCTCAGTTGTCGTCGAGCAAAAATGAAGTGCTCTTCCGGTCTTCCATAAACATCATCGGTGACTTTCTGAAGTCGCCTAGTGTCTTGGTTCATCATCACCCACTTGCTGAAACCATGCATCACATATGTGATAGGAGAGTTTCTCGGTGACTTTCTCCCAAATCTTTTAGAGTTTTTTTTAGAGGTGGGCACAGGTTGGGCTGGGCCCAAATTTAAAGGAACTAGACTGGACTCGTTAAAAAATGCAACGGGATGGGACAGGCCGGGTATATGAATTTTGAGATTGAAACTGAACCTAACCCGATCTGTTTGAAACGGACTGATTCAGGCCAGGATCCACAGGTCCAATTACATTTTTTTTTAAGAACAAATCACAAAGGGTGAATACATCTTTCACAACCGACCACCAAAAAAAAAAAAAAGAACACATGTTTCTTAAATTCCCATCTTTCCCTACCAATATCAACAAATAAGAGCTTACAAAGATGAGTTTACATTCAAATCCAATTAGTGTACATTCAAATCCAATTTGCATGAAACCTTCCACTAATCAACCAAACACAACCTAATTAAAATTAACCAAGTTTGAAGCAGAACATTCAAATATATACAAGCCTGAAACTATCATAGGACATACATATATTCAAATATACATAAATTAAGAACCCAGAAACAGAAGATTCAAATATGATATTCAATTTTGTGTTCAACCTTTTACCATTTTCCAGCCAAGATACTGCTAAATCTAGAGGATTAGTACCTTTTGAAAAAGCTCATTCGACCTACTGTGGAAATGTGTTTCCTAAGCAAGGTTTTCTTTGACTAACTTTAGTTTCATATAAGCACCCACCTTTTGCATAAAGAACTCCATCAAGAATTTGTTGACTGGAAGATAACCAAATTTGGAAATTTGGAAGTTAGGAATAGACGATGTCTTTCCAGATGCAGCTAATACAGTGACAGCAGCTGCAGCAATAGCAACCATACCTGCACTAACAGCTGAACCACCGGTGGTGAATCGGTGAAGGTCTGGGGTGATGAAGGTGAATCGGTGATAGTCTGAGTTCGGTGACGTCGTTGAGGAGAGATAGGAAATTAAGAAACAGGATAGGAGTCGGAAAAGATGAGTCGGCGACGGTGATGGGGTGGTGATGGTCGCGACAACAGTGATGGGTGACGATGGTGGTGAATCGGTGGTGGTCTGCGTTCGATGATGTTGGCAAGGAGAGATAGGAGTGCAAAAAGATGAGTTGACTAGGAAAGGAGGCTACGTCACTCGGAGAAACAAATCTCATCCATTCATTCCATTTTAGAAACGGGCCAGCCCAGGGCCCTGTGCTTCCATAGATTTGGACTCGCCTCACCCCGTAAATACCACCGCTCCATCCTGCCCTGCCCCATTTCTTCTCTAAAAAAATTAGACCCGGCCCGTACTAGCTCATAATCACGATTACCTGCCCCGACCTGCAGTTCCTAGACCCCTTTGCCCACCCCTAGTTTTTCTAGTATATATAAATAAGGCACCCTAAGCTCTCTCTACATAATCCCCCATCACTACACCCTTCACCTTGCCATAAATTATCTTCTTTTTTTGTTTTTGTTTTTATTTTTATTTTTGTTCCATATGTAACTAAGTTATTTTCGAAGGTTTATGATGAAGCCACGACATGAATATTTGCGAAGTAGTTTGTTAATTTTCATCCGATTTTATGCCATATATATATATTCTTAATCTTAGTGCGTATTTTATTCTAGATTCAGATTTCTTATGATTGATCACCTTTAGGAATTTTGCGTCTAGATATTTAGATATGTTTATGAGGATGACCAATCAATTCAGTTTATTGGAATTAAGATTAAGAAGATTAGGCAATCTAATGAGGATGACCAATATCAAGCTAATCCTGCTTGGTTGACATGATTCTTCTACGCTTAATGAGTTTTTATGTGTTTAATTGTATGTCTCACCAATAGGATATAATTATCCTATAAAGGTACAAAAGTTGATGTCTGACCACGAATTAATTCATACCTTAGAAAGAATAACCTTTTAACATTGGCAAGGTAATTGGATAGTAGTTGGTTCTAGAAAAAGTAAGTAAGATTGTTATTGGTGAATTCATAACCTTAGGTCTTCTTGTGTCGTGTTTATTTTAATTAATTAATCTTTTATTTTTCTTGTTAATTTTAGTCTTGATCAATTACTTAATTACTCAATTCAATCTATCATTTCTTTGTTTAATCAACTCAAGTGTAATTAATCGGTTAAATTGGTATTAAAGTAATTCTTGTGGAATCGACCTCATATATATAATTGATTCCGTGTGCTTGTGAGTTTAATTTGATTTAAATTATTTTATTATTTAGGTTAGTTTAAATACATATCAATATACCTTTAAAATATCTCTAAATAGGTTCACATAACTTTAAAATTGCTAGAACAATCTGACAAAAATGAATCACAATTGCAGAAAACATTCAACAACTTCTTCAATGCGATCTTCAAAATGGATGATCGCCTTATCGATAAAGAGAGTAAAAAATGCAAAAGAAATATGAGCAAAGATTGCTGTGGTGACAGTCACATGACCTAAACTGCAATGTCATCATGCCCAAGTGGCATTAGTGAAAAACTGAAAGTGGGGTTCCTTTCAAAGTACCAAATAATAACTTTACAGCTCAAAAACCTGCAGCATGCACATGCTTACTGGTTCTTAGATGTCAGAATGGTTTTTTTTTTTTTTTTTTTTTTTTATTTTATTTTCTTTTAAATTTTTTTACTATTATTAGAGAAAAATGAACAGTTACGAAACTTTTTCTACCAGACTCAGAACGAAATATCAATGAGAATAAGAAAGTTGATTCAGTGCAATAACATGTTTCTCCAACGTAAATTCCAATGTTGCATGAAAAAGAATAGTACTTTCCATAGTATCAGATTTTCGTAAAGTGTCTTAATTAAAAGAGCTCAGAATAACAAAATTCAGAAATAATATGCACCTTGTTGCTCTTCCAACGACTTAACCAGTGGCACAGTCGTTGAGTATCCAATCATGTCTTAGTGCCAATTTTTCTTTCTTTTTGGTAGTATTGTGGAGCAAAAAATAATTCTAACAATTATGGAGCTGTCACATGAATATTTTGTCAAAGAACACAAGAATGTCCTCATTAAATTGACAAGGTTCGCATTTAATCCACGCACATTTTGACCACTCTGAAGACATGAGCGAGTACGACGTCATCAAGCTCTCCTGCCCATAGCTAGAAGAAAAGTCAAAGATAGTAAAGATAATAATTTGGTAATTAAGTCTATATTTAATACTCTCTTAATTAAGATAAACTCAAACAGGTAAGGAATTTCAATCATATCCAATCAGGATATTTCCAAGATAATCCTAGGATATTATCTCATAATTAATTTCTTTGGGATTAGTCTATCCTCAATCATCCTAGTATTCTAGGGATGACTCACCTAGGTCACTCGGATGACATCGTGTATAGGGCAAAACCCTAGCTCCATAAATACCTCATCTCCATCATTTTCTTGTAAGGCATCGAAGATCTATTGGCTAAACCTCTTCGCTCCCACCTCGTGAGAGCTTGTGGCTTTGGCCTTGGTCGAATGTGTTTATTTGTTTTGTAGATATAATTTCGTCAAAACTAAAAACAACGAAATTTTGCTACCACAACTATGTTTCTATTTCAACGACGTCACTCTTGTACCACATACCCGCATTTTAAGTTTCACTTTCCATATTAGAAATCAAATCTCAAACAAAGAACACCCATTTGTAGATTTTAATATGCATACGGGCAGTAACCATATGAGATGCATTTTCCTCATGGTGGTGGTGGTCGAAAATCCAATCTGTCGAAAACCCAGCAACTTGAGCTTGGTTACATCCTACCTCCTGGCATCACAAATGTTCACGGAAAACGAAAATATAACAAAGATCACAAGCTTATGGTTGTGGTTTTGTAGGGTTTTATATTGTTGTCAGTTTCTTATAGGCAATACTTCCTTATAAAAATCATAACAAAGATCACAAGCTTATGACTTAATATGCACACATACTACTCGTTTACTCTCTATTTTTCTCCCGTACCAGTGCTTCTCTCTCAAAAATTGGTCCTTGGATCCGAAGCTTGTGTCCCTTCAATTCTCTTTTGAACACTACTCGACATATCAATCTCATCCAACATTGACCGAAATAAAGATACAAAAAAAAAAAATAATATTCATCACATACACTCAAGCATATGAAGAGTTAATTAGTAATGAGCTGCTAATCCGTTTTCAGATTTTCGTTCGCTCAACTACTATGCTTGCCAACTAATGGTTAATTATTATGTTGATTAACAAGCGAACAGGGTTATATTACTTTAGATTAATTTAACTATAAGTGGGGGGCTTATCTGTATTGCACTTTTTATAAAAATTTAATTGTTTTTAATCAAAGACGTGTACGGTGACGAGATAGATGCGAACTGATCAAATCGATATCACATGTTCGTTTCAGTATGCATGGATTTTGTAAAGAGAGTTTTAACGAAAATCCTTACAGTATTGTTTACTTTAACTAAAAAATTATATTTTTATACTAAAAAGTCAATTATGGTATTATTTACTTTACCTTTTATTTTGTCCTTATCATTAAAACTCAAAGTTTTCAAACCACTAGCTATAAATTATAATTCTGTGAAGATGCAGCAGAACGTACTAAAATGTGTTTCGCATTAATCTGACTGTTAGATGGAAAACGCTAGGTAAGAAATAAGGAGAGACGACATTATTGTGGGACACAATCATTAAATTGTTCTCTACCTTAGGAATCACTAAGGACATTATTGGAAAGTAATCATCTCCGAATCCATTTCTCTTAATTCATCAAATTAGAAAATCTGTACCGTTGAAATTTGATCCAACAACTACAAACAGGGGCTCACTTTAAAAGTTATAATAACTTCAACCGTTGGATCAAATTTCAACAACATGAATTTTCTGATTTGGTGGATTAGAAGGAAGAGATCTGGAGAGCATCATTTTCCAACATTATCTACCGTAAAAACAAAAAATAAAAGGTAAAGAAAAAGTACAAAAGTCAAATTGGGTGGATTTTTCTATCTGTTAGGCCATTTTCAACTGACCCGGCCAAATGACCATAGGGCTAAAAATAGCTTGAAATGACAAGAAAATCGTTTCCAACCGAGGGTTAGGCCAAATGGCTTGTGGGCCCCACCAGCCAAAACCACCAAATCAGGCCAGCAGGCTGGCCATTTCCAGCCAGCCCCGATGAGCCCAGGCCACCTTTTTATTTTTTATTTTAGGACGAATATTTTTTTTAAAATATTTCTAATTTTTTTCATACACCATTTCTCATATACTTTTCACTATTCCATATTATCTTACCTTATTTTATTTTAATTATCCACATTCTATTCTCTTCCAATAATCTTTCCTTTAATTTTTTCAATAATTTTCAAATAGCCACCTCTTTCAATAATCTTCCAATATGCCCGAAAATCTTATTTTAATATGGTGGTTTAATTTAATTAACTATATTAATTCAATAAAAATAATAAATTATGTTTGACCTATGGCCCTTTGGCCCCCTCGGTTGGAGATGATTTTTTGTCAAATGGCTATGTTTGGCCTATAACCATTTGATCCCCCTTCGGTTGGAGATGGTATAAAATATGGTATGCCATTGTTCATTAAAATATAATTTCTTGCAGGACTATGGGGCTAAACATAGCCCTTTGGCCCTTATTCGGTTGAAGATGGCCTTAGGTTTTTCACAGCAGGTCGAAAAAATGAGTGTGTGTACACTATACTTGATCAATCCCGAAACTACCAAGTACCGATCAATTTCACACCTTCAAGGACCCACTGAGGGGTTCATACTGAGACACTCATACCGAAGCACAAGAGTTTCCCTCTAACCAAGAGGCCAATCACAGCACGTCATACGTTAACGTCAGAATAAAACTCATAGAGTTCTACGTTGACCACAGACGAAAGTTGGAGACTCTCCTCACCTACAAAAGAAGACCATTCTCCTAAAATTAATCCGGAATGTCATTATTGTACTTAAACTAGTCATTAGAGCATCCCCAATGAGGGCTCTATCCTCAATGAGCCGGAAAATGGGGTTAGATCCACCACTAGGGCTAGCAACTTTCTTTCTTGGGTAGCCTAAAATTGGGCTATGTATAGCTCCAAAAAATAGTGGGTCCTACAAAA